CAGGGTTGGTACCACCCTCATTCCTGATCCTTCTGGATCTCTGCCTCACCGGATAATAACTCTCACACTGACGTAACACGCCACAGCTTTACAAAGTGCTTTTCTCACAACTCTACAGGAGTAAGGAATAGAAATAGAAGCATCCCAATTTAACGGAGGGAGAAACAGAGACTCAGTTGTTAGGTGGCTTGCCTAGTGTTCCATAGCTAGTAAGCGTCAGAGCCAGGTCTCAAACCCAGGTCTTCTGACTCCAAGCCCAGTATTTTCTCTACTACAATTTCATTCCCTCAGGGCTGCTGGGGGCAAGCAATGAGGAGGTGCTGGGGAACACAGACAGGAAGCTCATCCCACAAACAGTCAACTCCAAATAATACAGAAACGTTCTTCTGTCTTCTGAGAGGAGCCCCAGTGCTACTGGATTACTCTGTTTATTGAAGGTTCCCCCTCACCGCCCTTTGTGGTCCAAGCCTAGGATTTACCCTGAGGGCCCAGCATAGCTCCCGCTCAGAAAACACCATCCTTAACTCCTAAAGAGGCCATAGGCAGTACAGAGATGGCTCATAACAGATGCAGGAAATTGGGGGGTTGAGGAAGAAGAGAGGGAAGGCAGAAGAGAAGAGAAAGGGAACAGGCCCGATGTTATAGGCAAACCACTTCCCACGCCAGGCATCCTGGACTTGGCTGCTATTTCTACTCAAAGCAGGGTCAAAATTCAAAACGGATGGAACTGAAGCCTTGGGATGCTCTGAAAAGTTTCTGAATTTGGAAGAATAAGGGAAAGATACACCTTGTAGCCCATCTGGCTCCCTACTTTACTTTTGATTAAAGTGGGTGTGGGAAAGGGAAGGGCAGTCAGAAAGTAAGTCTTTGCTTTTCATTCCAAAATTCCATCTTTTCCAGGAAGCTTTCCTTAGCCTCTCTTAATTCCAGTGCCTTCCCTCTGTTATTTCCTTTTTATCCTGTATAAAGCTTGCTGTTTGCTTGCTGTCTCCCCCCACTAGATCGGGAGCTCCTTGAGGGTGGGGATTCTCTTTTGTCTCTTTTTGTATCCCCAGCGCTTAGCACAATGCCTGGCACATAGTAGGAGCTTAATAAATGTTTATTGACTGAAAAAAACAAAAATGGGTTTGGAGGATTATCTGTGTCACTGCACATGACATAGTGTTGTACTACTGAACTTTGGCAGCTAGAACCTTTGGGTCTTGGGTGTGTCTGAGAGTCAGAACCCTTACGTTATCTTGGACAAGTCCCTTTCTCTGCTGGGGCTTCTTTCTCTGTAAAACAGAGGGATTAAACTAGATGATGATGTCCAAGGTCCCCTTCAATTCTGATGGTCTATACTTTTTCTTAAAAGTTGCGTGATGTGTTTATAACACTTTTGTGGTTCTACTAGGACCCTCCTACAATAGAGGTCCCATATCTGTTGTCTCGTGCCCTAGAGGGGTCTGAACAATAATTCCCATCAATCCCTAAGTTTGGTGAGAGTAGAGATACAGGGAAAGGTGGGGAGGGGAGAGGGGAACTTCAAATGTTCAAGACTCCCCAAGATTAACCTCTTCTACCTTATCATACCCTAGCTCCCAAAAAGCAGACTTCAAACATCAGGTCGGTTTCTCTGTTGTTATTATTCTGCAGCGGCCTCTCAGAGCTGACAAAGAGCTGTGCTAAACCATCGGACACCTCAGCTCCATCTTCTGTGAATGAGACAGGCTTTTTATAGCCTCAGCTCATTGGAACTCATGGATACCGGTGTTCTCGACTCTGTCAGCCCAATAAACTAGCACAACATTGCCTTTTTTTTTCTAGTGAGAAGAGGTCCCTGCTGCCTGGCTTCTTCTTTTCTATTCCCACTCTCACCCTTACTAATGAGAGGGCTTAGGGATCTTCTAAGATACCTTTTCCACGGGACCTACAGAACCCAGCCTTTCTAATTCAGGTGTCAGCTTTACTGTAGGTTCTACATTAAAGCAGAGTAAGGTGAACTCTTCTGAACCTAGGTAGGCTGGTAGCAAACATGCCAGAGTTAGCTCTTTTTAGGGGGAAGTCCTGTACGCCAATGTTTTGTTGCACTGAGGGTACTGCCTGGTGGAAATAGCAATTTTCGACAATGAGGGGAAACCTGAAGGGAAGAAAAGTCATCCACAGGTGGACCCACTTGGTCCTTAATTGTTTAACATCCGATGTCTTCTGACTTTTGGAACAGGAGCTCCTTGGGAATCAGATAACAGGCAGTACTAGCAGTGAGCAAGGCTCTGTAGAAAGTTGGAAATGGTGCACCTGGATGCTACTGGGAGCTCAGGAGAATCTAGCTGATCTATTCTCGCCCATATACCTTATGCATCAGTCAAACTGGACTACTCTCTATTTTCCAATTGATCTCTGGGCTGTCTTGCCTCCTGGCTCTTAATGGCTTCCCCAAATCAACTTGAATAATCCTATTCATCTTTCAAATGCTAATTCAAATGCCATCTACTCTAGGAAGGCTTTTCTACTCCCTTAGCTGAAGATAGCCAGTCTGGCCTTCTCTTTTGGCCTCTTACAGAACTTTGTTTATATCTGAAAAGCAATTTGTAAATTGAAATGTGGACTATTAACACATTGTATTGTAACTAATTTAGGTGCATTGAATTTTCCCTACCAGACTAAATCCCTTGTGAGCAAGAACTAGGCCTACCATGGTGAAAGGGAAAGAAGTCCAGATTTGGAGTCAGAGGACCTAGGTTCAAATACTGGCTCTGCTATTTACTATCTGTGTAAGTTTGGGCAAGTTGTTTAACCTCTTCACCTGTAAAATGAGGGGGTTGGACCAGATCATCTGTAAGCTTCCTTTCAGCTCGAACTCTATGATCTTTGTATTTCCGCACAATATCTTGTGAAGAATAGGTAGTCAAATACTTGCTGAATGAAATTATCAAGACTCCCAGTTTCTATGGTGTGGTGGAAGTGTCTGGTTGGAGGGTTCAAGAATGGTGCAGGCAAGTCAAAGCACAAACAGAATCCCAAACCCTAGGGAGTTTTGCAGAGTAACTCCATCGTCTCGACAAAAGACAGGAGTGTAGTGTGGGCTGTAGTCGGGGGTGAGGAGAAATAACAGAAGCAAAACTCTGCAGCTTTCAAAACAACACAAGCTAAGGGAAATAAACGAGTCAGTATGATGAATGGGGAAGGGGAGAAGGGAGGCGGTAATGCCCCAAAGTGGGTCTCTGCTAGACAATGAGGGGGAGGACAAAGAACAATGTCAAAAGTGAAAATGGTCCACAGCCCTACCAGGTCTCTGCTTAATAAGAGAAAAGATTTAAAAAGCGGACATTAACTGAGTTAACCCGATAAAAGGCACCCTTCCCATGCCTGCCGGGCTTGACATCTTCCAAGTGTCCCTTCTAGTCACTCACACAGGTCACAGAAATATAGGTATGGGCAAATAGGGGGGTCCAAGGTAGCATGAGCACAGGAGGAGTCAGCAAACACTAACCTATAGAAAAGAGGGTATTTAGGACAGCTCAGTCAAGGCAGGATATAAATGACAGGAAATTAAGATCTAAGGACAGCAAAAAGTATGTTAGCTTTGATTTCTGCGCCTCCAAGGAGGTCTAAATCTGAAGTCACTAACAATGGCCTGGGATCCAATATTCTTCTTATGGAATTTGTGGCCTCTCAGGAAGGCTCAAAAATGAGAAAGCTTAGGAGACTCAAGCCTCCTGGAGAAGAGAGTGACAATCTTGGCTCTTTCTCCCCATTCATCGAACTCCACTTTTCCCCGGAGATCCAGGCCCAGGTTACTTAAGCCTCATCAGAAGCTGCATCTAGGAGGAGGCACACACTGTCCTCCCTGTTTCAATCCCACAAGACCTCTAGTAGGCGAATGTTTCCTATTCTCACGTTTCATTGGGCATTGGGATGACTGCAGCAAGAATGAACTGAAGTCTATCCTCAGGGAGTTTGAGAAGAAAAATGCTGACAACGAAACACGACACACCGGCATCAAGAAAAACTTCCCAATGATCCAAGTTGGGAGAGAATGACTCCAATGTACATGATATGGTAGACTGTTGTTCAATTAGGGGCAGCCAGGTGGTACAGTGGTTGGAGCATTGGGCCTGGAGTCAGGAAGACCTCAGTTCAGATTTGGCCACAGACACTTGCTAGCTGTGTGGCCCTCAGCCAGTCACTTAAGCATGTGTGCCTAAGTTTTCTCACTTGTAAAATGAGCTGGAAAAGGAAATGCAAACCACTCCTGTATCTTTGCCAAGAAAACCCCAAATGGGGTCATCAAGAGTTGGACACGACTAAAATAACCAAACAACAACAACTCTCCAATTGTCTTTATCCAGTAATTTACCTAGAGCTCCTTACTTGTTAACTGTTCTGTGTCTCTCCTCCACTAGGGTTTCAAGCTCTTTGTCATGGGGTAATGTTCTTTTGTGGCTCATGGCCATGCCAAGCACACAACAAGTGCTCTTCAAGCACCTGTGAATTGATTTGGGGAGGTGCATAGAAATAGGAAGAGGGAAAGGAATAAGCATTTATTAAGCACCTACTATGGGTCAAGCACCATGCTAAGTAAGCACTTTCCAATTATTATCTCACTCAATCTTCACAACAACCCTGTGAGGTAATAATAATAATAATAATAATAATAAAAACAATAACAATAATAGCTAACATTTAGTGTTTCCTATGTGCCAGGCACTGAGCTAACTGCTTAATAATAATAATAGTAGTATTATCTAACATTTAGTGTGTCCTATGTGTCAGGCACTGAGCTAAGTGCTTAATAATAATAATAATAATAATGATAATGATAGTAACAGCTAACATTTAGTGCATCCTATGTGCCAGGCACTATGCTAAGAGCTTAATAATAATGACAATAACAGCACTAGCAAACCTTTACCGAGTGTCTGCCCGGTGCCAGGCACTGTGCCGAGCACATTACATCGGACCCTCACCACAAACCAGGGAAGCAGTTGGGGAGACTGAGGTAGGGGGCGGGACCTCACCTTCGACCTGCGAGGTCTGCAGCTTCTCGCAGAGGCCCAGCACACCCCCATAGTGCTCGTCGATGTGGGCCACGGCCTCACTGCTGCGCAGCTCCATGAGGTGCCGCAGCTCCATCACGGTGCAGCCAAAGTCCTTGGTCGTGGCCATGGTGCTCGTTGAGTTGGCGAGGTAACCCTGAGTACTCTTCATGTGTCTGAAGGACACAGCCCTGGCTGGAGGGTGGCAGAAGTAGGGGCAGGACTCAGGCCCAGGAGGCCCTGGCCCCCTTCCTAGCTGTGGGGGCTGGGGCTGGGGCTGGGGGCGCCCCACAGGGATGGGGGAAGGGAGAGGTGCCGGACGGGCCCGTGTAGTGGAGATTGGCTTTCCTAGGCCCTGGGCCTGGCTAACTTGACTTCTTGGGAGCCAGGTACAAACAGGAGGTATATGTCACCACGGAGGCATCCTTGGCAAAGGTGGAGCCTGGCCTGGGATGAGGAGGTAGCGGGGGCGCAGGTCAAGATGAAGGCAAGGAGGAAGGCTCCCTGGAGATCGAAGGTACCTGGAGAGAGACACAGCAATCAGTGCAGGACGAAGCCAGGCCCCACATGGGGCCTCAGTTCCCTCCTGCTACCTTGTGTCCTGGGGGGGAAGGCACCGATTAAGCCCCTACTATTTATGTGCCAGCCACCTTACAATATTATCTCATCTGGGCCTCACAACAAACCAGTGAGATTGATTTCCTCAATTTTACAGTTGAGGAAACTGAGGCACAGAGAGCTTACAGTGACTTGCCCGGGGTTCAAGGCCAGATTTCAGTTCAGGTCTTCCTGACTCTAGGCCCTGGTGGCTCTTAGGCACTTGGGGAAAGTAAAGGTAGTGACCCAGCCCTTCCTTCCTTTCCTACCCTCCCCCATCACTAATATTCCCTGGGCATTCTAACAGCCCCTTCCTGTGATTTCTAAGAGGTGAGTAGGGGCATAACATGGTAGGAAGCTTCCTCTATGGCTCTCGGCATACAGGCATATAAGGGCTTAGAGGGGTATACACAGACAATCCAGCTGGCCCCTACCCTTTCCTGAAAGCAAAAGGGAAAAAGAGGAAAAAAACGAAAGCAACTCTTATGGCTTTAAACATCTTGAAAATGAAAAACCACCACCAAGAAGTTACCTCCCCTAGGACACCACAGACCTTTTTTAAAGACTTGGAATGTTCAGGTTCTGTTGCTCTCCCTGCCTGTTGGGGTGACCTGTGTGGTTTTACATAAGACAAATAGGATTCTATTGGGGGTCTGTCTTCCAGAGGTTGGAGGGGCTTAATAAAGGTGTCCAGGCTCATATCAGTCATTGAAACTCTCCCACCTGCATGCCTTGATTTCCCTTTACCCACCACAGCAGGGATGAGAGAACCTAGCAGATCATGCCTAAATCCTCAGGGGACACTGGCGTGTCTGGCCCCCCCCCCAGCTATGTGATGGCTCTTCAGGCCCCCCAGAGCTATTAACTTGCTAAGAGCTAAGCACAGGACTCTGGGGCCTAGTCACAGCTCTCTGCATGTGGTTGATGAGTTGAAGTTTCTGGCAGTTAAAGATACAGGATGGGTCCTTCTTGAGAGGTGAAAGAAGAATTGCTGAGAAAATAGACACAGTGAATTTAGACTCTCAAGAGTCAGAGGGAGGTACTCTGGGACCATATGGATAAAATGTTTATCAATTTAGATATGCATGTGCAAAGGGCCAAACATACATCAGCAGGGGGTGGGGGATGAGTTAGACTCAACTGCTTTGGAATGAACACACCCGAGAATTCTCAAGAAGTTAGTTCAATAAGTCAACCATAGGACACAGCATGGTATGTGTAGGGGAAGAGGGAACTGCAAGTCAAGAGACTTAGGCTAGCAGCTCCAGGTCTGTCAACTAACCCCATGTCCCAAGGTAAGTCATTTAACCTCTGGGTCACAGTTTATCGCTCTGCAAAAGGAGATTGATACATACCCTTCCTACCTTTTAAAGTTGTTGTGAAGAAAGTACTTTTTTTGGAGAGGCCTATATAAGCTATTATAACAGATAATATTTTTCCTCCCAGAGAGAGGCAGAGTAGCAGACTTCCCCAAAACACGTAAGTTAAAAGTTGGCTGTGAGGCAGAAGTCAAACCTCCTCAGCCTCCTTCTTGAAGGCAGACAGCTGCATTTTTCTGCTGGAGATGTTGCCACACATCAGTCATTTAAAGGTGAAACTGCTTCCCTCTGGCAGAAGGTGAGCCCTGCCCCAATTAAGTGATTCCTGCTAATGAGAGTTCAGACACTGGGGAAGGAAGCTTTGCTTACCCCTTTCTCTAATAAGGAGATTACACCTTCAGAAGAGCAAAGAGCCATAGGAACTGGCAACTAATTGAGATCAAGATGGCAGGGTCCTTAATTAGCCTTCCAAGAATCATCAGGGATGAAGACTATTCACCCCCACCACTACTGTGCCAGCCCAGTTCTTGGTCAGGTCCTTAGGGGCAGGCAGGTAACCTCACCTCTCAATAACAGACACCCTTTGCCTTCTTCTGCCTCCAAAGAGTAAGCCTCTTGTGGGAACTCTACCCACGCGAGAGTCCTGGGGTTGCAGAGGGTTTTTTTTCCTCCCCTCCTAGCCAAGTTGTTTCTTTTCTGGAATCCTCCATATCTATACAGTTGGAGTATAAGAAAGGAGTCCAGATCATTTCCTTCAGGAAAGATAACAAAGTCACATTTTGTAGGGTAGCTTTAGGCTTTCTTTGCCACAATCCTATAGATGTAAGTGGTATAAGTAGTATTCCCATTTTACAGATATGGAAACTGAAGCTCTGAGGGATGACCCATGGTTACAAAGGTAGGTGTCTAATCTAGGATCGGAGCCACTCAAATCTGGCTGTTTCTACTACTCTGTGCTGCCTCTCCTACTAAGGGCATTTGAACCTACCAAGGTGCTAGGGTTATGTTAGCCTCAGATCTTTGATTTTGAAGAAGCCTTCAGCGGACCTTGGTGCTTAATAAATGTTTGGGGGATTGGAATGTCTGAATAGAGACTGAGCCTATGTAGCACACATACTTCACACAGACTATTGTAAGACAGGCTGTGCCATGGAATCAGGTTCAATCCAGCTTCTCTTCCAAGACTGGAGGCACAGGGTTGGGGCAGAAGTAAGCAGAATACCATGCTAGTACTCAAATGGAGCTCTTGAACCTTTCAGAGAGGGCATTAATGTCAATGCTTACCCTAGTGGACAGAGGACTGGACTCTGGATTTAGAAGACAAAGTGATTCCAGCCCCTGCTCAGGGGAATAGCCATATCTATATTATCTTTGGTCCCCAGGTTACATTTTAGCAAAGCTCGTTCTTTGGATCACATTTCCCCATCCATCAAATAGGAAAGAGCCAGCCTTGCCTTCTCCCAACCTCCTGGGGAAGGGGGAGGATAAAGATGGATGAGATCTTTACATGGGCAAAAGGCTTTGAGCTCTTGGAAGAAAACTCAGAAGGTGTTAAATTAAACCAAGGTATCTAATAGGGTGATAAAGGGAGAAAAAAAAGTTCATTTTGTACTTAGAGCTGTTCACATCTGTTATCTGGCCATCATCAGAGACATTCCTGTGGCCTTCCATCTTTCACTGTCAGGAAGATTCCTTGTCTTCCAGCCCCGCACCTGCACGACACCCAAACACCCACTCTTACCCCATGCTAAAAGCATAAGAAATTTCCAGACAACGTCCTTTATAACTGATAATCAACCACAAGGGAAATATGGTCCATAAAGAAAAGAAAGTGAATCAGTAAAGGAGAGAAAAATCAGTTTAAATTTCAGACTGTATTACTTGAGGTTTTTCCTTCTCCAGGGGGTCTGCACTCTAGATATGCCAGGGTTTAGTCCCACTGGCACAAATTCCTTACTCTATCTTCTATTTTTCCATGTGGTAAGAGCAGGGATTATATTCCACCTTTTCTCCAAAACAAAAACAAACAAACATACAAACACACAAACATGAAAGCTTCAGTCTCCACCTGGGATTTTTCTTTATTGCATCTACCTTGGAAATTCTAGAAAATGGCCCCCTCCATACTCCCAGGAGGATGCCATCCCCAAGTTCTAATACCTTCTGGGTCACCCAAGAAAGATTGGGGGGAGAGGAGAGCAGAATAGGGAAGGAAAAAAGGGCAAGAAAGTTGTTTGTGTCCCAGTCTGACCAAGAGGTCCCGGCAGACTTGTCCCCTGATATCTGGGTACCTAATGTAACCCCATGCTCAGAAGGATTTGCAGGCCAAGAGTACAGCTGCAGAAGCTTCTTAGTAGCCAGACTGGGCAGCAAGGTGCCACCACTCTCTCAATTCACCCAGAGAATGAGGGTCTGATAGTTCTATACAGCTGCCTAGCTGGCATGGCCTCTAACCTAATTAGTCAATTGCCAAAAGAGCAGTAATTGGGACAGCTGGGTGGTTAAGTGGATAGAGCTCTGGCCTTGGAGTCAGGAAGGCCTTAGTTCAAATCTGACACTTGACCATTACTAGCTGTGTGACCCTGGGCAAGTCACTTAACCCTGGTTGTGTCACCAAAAAGCAAAAAAAAAAGGAATAATTTTCAAATGTACACTGCCCTAGCCTCAAAGAAAGTCCCAAACAAGCATCTGCTGGCTCCTGGGGAGTGGAGAGGAGGATACCATCTCTCCCCAGGCAAGGCTGCTGTTAGCATCAGCTGCTGCATTCTGGGAGAAGTACCCTCTCTACCTCCATTTCTGCCACTACTCCCACTCACCTCTTCCCTTTAAACAATAACAGCCTGGAAAACATTAAACCTTTGTATTTCTACAAATGCAAAGCATTTTTCACATCTATGCTCACATCCAACATCCCTATAAGAAGGTAAGATGCTATTATCCCTACTTTACAGAGAAGATACTAACGACCTGAGAGATTGAGACTGTGACCGAGGCTGCCCGCATTAGGGGCAAAGCTGGCCTAAGAATCCAGGGCTCTTGACTCCCTCTTCCCCAGACTAATGCTCCTCCTACACTGCTGGTTTCCTCCTTCAGTCTGACAAAACATCTAGGAATCTCAAAAAAAAAAAAAAAAAAATGCAGACACCTCCCGGGAATAGGGAACATCCTCTCTCTTTTAGCAAAGATGTTCAATTCAATAAATGCTGAGCAAATAAAATTTAAAAACAAGACAGTGAGCAAAGTGCTATGGATACAAAAACAAAACATGAAACAGTACCTGCCCTCAAGGATCTTAGAGCCTTCCTTAAGATATTACCCAGTGATAGCAGAAAAGCTTTAATAAAGGCAACCCCTCCCCCGCACGCATACATCCCTATTCCTGATGACATGGCCTAGGATCACCTAAAATTAGAAGGGTCTTCAGAGGCCATGGAGTGAAAACTCTTCATTTTACCTAGGAAAGTGGTTCTTCCCCAGGTTAAGTGATATGTCCAAGGTCATTTGGGTTAGGAAAAGTCAGAAAGAGGATCAGAATGCAGCTCTTCCCACCCCCAGGCCTATGCTCTCTCCAGGATAACACTATGCTTCCTCAAATTTCCAATGTT